AAAGGGGTTAAATCAATTTCTAAACAGAGATCGAAGACATTAGATCATGTCGAGAAATTGCTTTTGCTTTGGATAACTGAAAAACAGTGCTGGAGACATCGTATCGGCAGCAATTATTTGCGAGAAAGCTAAAAAGATACACGCTGATCTCACGAAAAATCAAGCAGGAACTAGCCAAAAAAGAGAGGTGTTTAAAGCCAGCCATCTTTTTTACACGAGAACGGATTAATCATTTTTACATTACTTCTTATGGGAAAGGTTGGTTTGGTATATGTCCAATTCGGTATAAGTCCAAACATCTGGAACGGATTAAGGTCGTATACCGAGGTTCCACTGTATTTTGGTTTTTATTATTTATTGTTTTATTTTGGTTATGCTTATTCTATTAGTTTAATTTAAACGTATGTTCTAATTTGGTTTAATTTTGAATGTGTTCGATTTTGTATTAGAGTTGAATAACAGTAACCTGAAGATGGCCCATAAATTGGGCCAAAAACATTAGTTTTGTGTAATAAATAGATGTTCTCAGCAATAAGGTGTGTTGGATGTATCTAGTATATTGCTTAAGAGGCTGAGTCTGAGTATATGATATATAATTGGCCACAGATACGACACAATATATATTCTTCCAAGGACGTTCTGGCTTCAATTACCTCTACAAAGTTAACTAAATTGCAATATATAACATTATGACAAAGGGCTATAGAAAAAGGTGTTAATATTTATCCATAATACCACGACATTAAGAAAGCAAAAACGCTCATTATGTTGCTACTATTATTACAGAAGATAAAACCAATATCAAACTTCAAGTTTTAGTGGACCTAACAAAATAATGTCTTTTTATCACTCTAACAGATGTATTAAATAGTTTTTTTCCTAGAAGATAAATGTAATTTGAATAATATTACCAACGTTTATGAGTGGAGTTTGGACAGAAGCAGAGTGTACAAACAAAGACCATCGGAAGAAAATTTCGAAGACGTTAATATAATCATGACATCTTCGGTGCACATACACTTTTTGTCAGAAAAGTTCTAGGACAATTTTTTTATTTCTGTACCTGCGATAATAAAAAATTTCAATTGTTGTTTTAATGTCACCAGGTATGTGTTCTTACTTGACACGTTTTTGGAAATGTTTCTGCACAAACTCACTCAGTGGCGGGACTGTGCTTAGCAACACCACTGTTTGCATTGTTGTTGCAATAGTTGGAGTGACACAGTGAATGTAGATTGTGAGCAAAAAGCAAACATTAAGTTCTGTGTTAAGCTCGGGAAAACCCCTACCAAAACGTGGAACACTTTCAAGAAGCCATGTTTTAGAGCGGCACAAAAAGTTTTGCAAAAGCAGAGATTTGGTGCAAGAAATCCCAAAGCCAGTTGCCCGTCTTTGGCACATAGCAATGCAAATGCAAATTGCATAAAGCCATTACTGCAAGAAGACCATTGTGTGACTGTGCTTACGATATCAGAAGAACCGAATTTGAATCACAAAGTGCATCATAAGATTTTACGTAAGATTTAGGGAAACAGAAACCGTCCCTCGTGCACCAACCTCGTGCAAAAATCGTCCCTCGTGCACCAACAGCTGAACAGAAAGATCACAGACAAACAATTGCTGCCAAACTATCAAACAGTGTCAGACATAATCCCACATTTGCACCAAAGATTATTGCAAGGGACAAAAGTCAACACTACCTGTACGACCCTCAAACGAAACATCGAAGTGCCGAATGGCAGAGTTACATTTCGCTGGCCACAAGAAAAGTCAAACAACCTTCGAAAACAAAGACGACATTGATCACATTCTTTGATCGTAAAGGATCAGTGCACCACAAGTACATTCCTCGAGGTGAAACGGCAAGCCAAACTCGTCGCGTCGAGATCCCGAAATGTTTGCGGCAAGCAATTTGGCATCGGCGTCCCTATTTGCAGCACGCTCGGAAGCAGTTCTCACCACAGGACAACACAAGACCCCACGCCACTTTATCCGTTCACGAGTATCCGGCCAAACATTCCATCACCACCACATCACATCTCCCACATTTGCCAAACCCATCGCCCGCCGATTATTTCTCGTTTTCACCAGCAAAAAAGTAACCAAAAAGGGACGTTTCGTCAAGATAAGGCAGACGTCCGACGAGCCGCAACAAACGAGCCAACAAGCATCTCACTCGAAGCTTTCTCCGCCAGCTTCCAAGACCAGAAAGGTCGACCGTCGCGTATAGATAGCCAAGGCAACCGCTTTGATAGGAGCTAGGATCATTACTCGGTAATTGCAATTTTCTACTTTTTACAAACTTTTCCGAGAAAAAGCGTACAAACTTTTGCCTACGACAAAAACAAGAAAAGAGTAATTTTATGACGAAATCCCACACCGAGTTCAACCGGATATCGAGGACCGATTCGTTTTCGCCGGGCAAAAAAAACCGACGAGGTAAGTCCATACGAATTTACTCGCACAGAAAACCAGATTCGAGAGATACAAAGTACCAAAATATATAGAAAGGTAAATCGCAAGTTTATGGAAAAAAACTTGCGATTTACCTTTAGAGTAAAATTGGTTTCGGTATCGACCTGCAAAAACTGCAGTCGACACCAAGATCCGTAACGCTTTAACGTCAAATAAGTCAACCCGAAAGCGTCCCATACGTAGCGAAGCATCCGGCCAAACGAACGATCCACCTAGCATTAAAAGGAGACGACGTAAAGAAACTTTCTCGTCCGGGTCGTCGACTCTCGGTCGTCACACGAGACGGGCAGAAAGCATCCTCGGCGCGGCGTATCGAACGGATATTAAAAGACGGCAAGTGCGCAAGACCGGAGAGAAAGAGTCGGTACGGCAAGAAAGAAAAATATCACGGATAGACTTAGAACCAAAACAGGTCTACTTCCGGATACTCCCGAGCAAGGAGGCAGAAACACCGACGAAGATAATTTGGCAAAATATTTTTCCAACGCCACCATTACCGCACAGATAACCGGCGTTAACCAGAACCTAACAGAACGGTTTTCGGTTATATTACAAGCACCGGCACCGGCATTCACAATGTTTAACACACGGATGAAAAATTACGTCTTGGTTTCTCGGAATATCGGAAGCGGCCATTCTCGTTGCGATCGGACAAGGACAAAAGTTTTCGTTCTTCGTAGAATATCGGTAAGCCGGCGCACGGCATACGTACGTGAAGCGAAACATCATGCGGAGACGATCCGTTCCCGTTTCACCGTCCGGGCACCGGTACAGGTTGCCACCGTGATTCGAGTCCACTTCGCTGCCCACCGCCATCCCGACGGCGTGCACGCCGGGAAAGAGACCGGAACCCAAGCGAAAAGACGAGAAAGGCAAAAGATGAGACTTCGTCCCCCAACCGCAATTCATTTCTCCACCAACACTACCGAAACACGCTTCCTCTCTTCTCTCTCGTCGCTCGCCGCCCTCTGGCGGTCGTTTTCGTTTTTCGACGGATTTTAATTATCCGCGCCGACTACGAAAAACACTCGGGAAAATCGTCTTTGCTCCGGGAAAAATATTTCCGCTTCCGCTCGAATGTCTTCCGGTGCCTGTGGGAATTCCGCCTTTCCGGCATCGAAATATCTGAAGCGCTCGGCTCGTATCTTGTTGCCGGATTATTCGATTCTTTCTGCCGCGCCCGGGCACGAACACGACGCGGAACGAACCGCCGTCCGCAAATATATATAACGGGCGGCGGTTTGCCACTCCGAGAGGTGACCCGGGCCAGACCCCGCGTCACCGGAGATAACGTCACAGTTGCCCCGGGATGCGTCCTTTTAGTCGTACGCTTCGCACCTCCGGGCTAAGGACCGCCCTTTTATTTTCTTTTATTTTAAAAAATTAAATAATTTTTGTATTGGAAACGTATACGATTTTACTTTCTTGGTTTAACCTTTATTTTCCTCCCGTCACCGCTTCTGCATAACCGGTAGAATACAGAGGTTGGTGGAATATCGCAATAATCGATACTAAGGCTATTCGCATTTTTCACCCAATGTTCGCCCTCTGGTGTTTGAAAACAAAACTATTCTATCTGGTTCGTTCGATTCATTCTGGTATATTATCGGCAGTAAAGATGAATAGCCATGGAAAAAGCAAAGCTTTCTGTTCCGTTCCAAATTGCAATTTGAAAGCCTTACGGGAGCCCGATATAAGTTTTCGTCTATTCCCACACAAAAAACATGATTATTCGGAAATCGGTCGGTTATACTGTATTTATGAGCGTCTCCGAATTCCGAACGAGTGGATTAGACTTAAGAATTGGCAGTTTACACCAACGAGTTACGCTGTCGATTTTAAAATATATTTTCTTAAAGTTTAAAATGCCAGTAATTTCGTGTGGGACACGGGGTGGGATTTAAGCGTTTCGAAGCCCTAAGCCGAACTCTAAGACCTCTAACCGACCCTTTACAATTTTACAAGTCAATGGTAAAAAGAAAAGAATTCAATCGGACTATGTCTGGCTATTCGAGCAAATACGCGTGTCGTCTTACGGATTTTATAATATTGAAATTTTCAAATTATTTTCTGCCTTTCGTCGGGTCTACTTTTTAATGAAAACTGATGGCGCGATATTTTTCCTCGTCCTCGCTTCCCTATCGACCGTGCGCCGCAGTAGCGTAGCGTAGTGGGGGCGGCAAAATTTCATAATAAATAATAATATCTTGTAAGAATTTGAACCATTTTCTTTTATATCTTGGTTCACCTACGATTCGGACCGATTGAAATGAGCACGGAATAGTGTTACCATCCGGACGGTCCGGGAATCGACTCGCCGTCCAAGGATATCGTGCGCGACCTGTCGACGTTTTTTTTTCTTGCTTGTACGATTTATTCGTATATACAGTATACACCTGTGATGTCCAATAGAGCTAGGTCACTCGCGGTACTCCTATCCGTTTTCGTTTTCGTTGTTTTCACACTTTAGTTCGTAACCTTGATTTGTTTTCATAGATTAATCTTCGTATTTAGTAAAGTATATTTAAACGATTTTAGATAAGCGCTATTAAACTTTTTTCATACGCGTAGGTAAGCAATCATTGGTAGAATGACGAACACAAATTCTGTAAATTAAGCTTAGTTCACGCCGAGCGCGATTCGCTAGCGAAAGCGAAAAGCAGAACGAATAACGCGTCAGACACGACGTCGTTTCCGGCGAATTTTACCATTTCGCCAATCGCTTCCAAGTTCGGAACAGTCGAGCGTTTTCGCTAGCGAAAAAGTTTTTCTTTCAATCCTATTCCCGCTAGTTGTCACGTGGTTCTCGTTGTTTTCCAGATGGCTACGGAAACTTTCTCACGCGATAGAATAAATGTTGCGATTACGGATTTTTAATATTCCTCTCACCCGCATCGTTTTCTTTTTGATGAAATCTTTTTTTCTCAATAAATAAACAAACGTGGTTAACGACGGAATATCGGAAGCGGCCATTTTGTTTTCGAGATGACGTTTTCTCTCGCTGGCGAATGATTGGCTCCTTAAAATTCGCAATGGCGTTTCGCTTTTGATTGTTTGGGTCAATTTCGCTAAGCGAATAAAAATGGCTTTTGGCTTTTCTCCTTGGCTTTCGCTATTCGCTCGGTGTTAAGCGCTAGTACACATTTTTTATTAATAACATTTTTATTTCGTCACCCGTAAAAATGAAAAATATGAAAATGTTGCCGATACTTCTGATCGAGATGGACGAAAAGTCCAGACGACGACGATAATTTGTGAAAAGAAAACGTTCTGGTTTAACCAAAATTAATAACGCGTAATACAGTAGTTCTAATTGTGATTGTTATTTATTTATTGATTGGAAATAAATTATCCATTGCTTTAATAAATATATTTCTCTTAGTGACGAAAAACGATAGTATACTTTTGCTAACTTCTGGAACGTAACCCTATGTTTTGCGTTAGTCCTTTGTTTCGTATAACACGGATTCGTACGACACGTTACTTTTACGGAACGTATCCACCGTGTTATACGAGGGATACCTGTATATATATTTATTTTTTTATTTATTTAGTAGAATATATACAGTATCGTGATGATCAAAAGTTTAGGAACAAACTTACAATAAAACTTAAAATAATTAACCTACAATAAAAATCTAAACCTGCCAAATTAAATATTGCAATTAAAAATAAAAATAATTTACACCAACAAATATTTATTATGACATGGTCATAATGTGGGCTGCAATTTTTAATCGTATTTATTTAATTTAAACTATACGCTCTCCGCCGCAAATTAGTAGTGTCTTGCTCCTGTACTGTACGCCACACTTTGCCTGTTAGCAATAGAGCGGTGCCGTCGTCTTTCGGGAAAAAGTTTTGAATCGAAATGACGCGACTTCCGGTTTGCACCAGAAGTTCGTATATAGTTAATCGGGATTCCCGCCCCTATGGTTTATCGAATTTCATCTATCTAACTCGGTTTTCGAAATTAATAAAAGGAATTTTTAACAATTTTCACCCGCTATACGTACAGTTACAGCTCTATAATTTTATTTATTCGGCTATACTTGCCATCAGAAGCGCCTCTACGTTACTACCGAGGTTACTAGGGGTACGTTCGTTAATAGTGATCGTTCCCAGTCTCCCAAGCATGGGCGTGCGCGGCTGTTCGTAGGCATTTGGGAACGAAGGTGAAAGAAAAAGATGGTGGCTGTCATACCTATCGATGGTTTTGTAATTGCGGGATCTACGATTGTTAAATATGCGTTTTTGGAGACAAAAGTTAAAAGAAGAATTCCATTTGTAAAATTTAACCATCGAATGGATTTTATTGCTGATATCAAAGCGGCCACTAAAAAATTACAATGCTGGCTTTTGTGTAAAAAAATTTGAGATAACACTTACATCACCGTATGCATTAATCTCATAACTCCTGAGTTGAGACCCCAGATGTTCTTAGCAACAGTGGAGAAGCGATGGAAGATTTTCCCGGTCTGTTTTGTGATAAAATCAACATGTGCGGCCCAGAGGAGCTTGTGATTAAGTACTACCCCCAGGTATCCCACCTCGACGGAATTGTTTTTAAATTTTATAGTAGGGACTCTAGCATACAGACGTGGTTGCGACATCTGCCGAAAATAATTGCTTGAGTTTTTCACAGTTGAAATTTAAGTTATAATTTGATTCCCGAACTTGCATTTTCCTGAGAATTTGGTTGGCGCGAGATTCCAGATCAAAGCGGGATTTATCTGTAAGCAGGACTAGCGCATTATCTGCGTACACTATAATATGGTCCTGGCCAGAGTTTTGGTTGAGGAATGAGTTGAAGAGAACAACCAATAAGAGTGGCCCACAAACAGAGCCCTGGGATCGGCCCTTGACCGTGTCATTCTGGAAGGTAAAAATACCAGAGTTGATGACGACTTTCTCGTTTCGTAGATAGTCTCTTGTATTGCGATATGCGATGTATGTTTGCTGGACAGTTCGTGTCTCGAAGATGAAGGAGAATCAGCGGCCCGGCCCTGGCATTATCGAGGTCTTCCGTAAGATTAGGCTTATGCTAAGAACATAACTTATGGTTTGCCGAGGAGGGAGGAGATTGATTTCATAGTAGTAAAGATAGCGTTTGAAGCGGATCTTGTTTACGGAATTTGAATCGTTGATTGTTGAGAGAGTGGCTTCGTTCCAGGAACCAGTTCAGCCTATTAGTGAGTAGTCTCTCGAACACCTTTCCCAAAATAGGGAAGAGAGAATTGGGGAGAAAACTATTCCGACATTGGAATAGGAACTATATGCGCGATTTTCCAGGATTCAGTAAAAATGCTAAAAAGCAAACAATTGTTTTACGTATCCAGGATTTGATTTGAGTTTGTCTTCCAGATCCGGATGGCAATATTTCGAGTAATGTGATCTAGACCAAGAGCTTTCTTCCTACCGAGGCTCACGAAGACCCGCTCCACTTCTTGAAGGCAGATAAGAAAAATATCAGTTATATCAATAGGGTTTTTAATAACATCTATAATACCCTTGCGCCCGGGAGAATCTGTGAAAGGGTCGTCCTTACTGCAGAGGATGTTAAATTTTGCATCGACAGTGACTTCTAAATCATTAATTAATGCGTTTGTCGTTTGAATGAACAGCGCGAGGGACAGATGGTACGCGAAGCTTGCCGGTGCACAGACCGGTGAGAAAGCCCTAAAGGTCGATAGAGGCCTGCGGGCAGAAGTTTTTCCAGCATGTTATTTTGGCTTCTTTGAAGGCATTTTTATAGATGAGCCGATGCCGAAGGTAGACTGGTTTGTTGTTAGCGCGGTTCCGTGAAGATTTGCCGTGTCGAGACTTATTGCCAGGCTTATCGTTTGTTCCTGTCGGAGCAGTTAGTTTGGAGTTTCGCCACCAAGCAGATTTTCTCTCGAGGCCGTGATGGGGAATCGCTTTCTCACAGGCCGAAACGACGAGTCGGATGTTGCGCTCGGTAAGGCTTCCGAGTACGTCTGCAGACGTGGCCGAATCATAACGAAGGTAGTTATCGCGAATTAATACGCGTAGAAAGACGATTCCAGTAGGTAGCGGAGATGTATCTTTTACGGGTGTTTGTGTCGGTGTTAAAAGAGAGTGCTGCAACTACCAACGTTCAGTGGTTTTATCCACTCGGCCAGTGGTAGGCTGGTTCACTGGGATCCCGCGGCTAGAATAAAGGCCGAAAGCGGGACGAGTGTATATAAACGTATATAAAACCGATATGAAATCGACACGTAAATGTAAATTAAGACCTTTCTGGATATAATTAAATTCAGAGAAAGGAACCGTCCAGCCTGTTTTTCTTTTTAAATTGCCGAATAAATGACAAGTTATGTTTAATATGGCCTAAAAATGCACGCAGTTTATCCTTTTCCAATTATATATATTTAATATAAGTCAATTGTATTAATAAATAGATAAGAATAAAAGTTTTATAAAATAGCGTCGAGTATAATTAAAAGCTTTGGTAAATTGATTGTACACGTTTTAAGTCATTTTTAATTTCAAGTTGATTCCAAGACCTTTTAATATTCAATAGGGCTTGGGTCGAACGTACACAATAATGAAAACATTATCGCGGCGTACAGTTGTCGCCTATTTGCGAATAAACCTCGAGTTTAATCGTAAGAATATCCTACGCAACTAGATTTTATTTCGGCACCGAATTGGAAAGATTAGAAGAGGTTTACTGCCGTATAACACTCCGTAATTCCACACACCAGATACGAAAAACCGTATCTTTAACCGAAAGAAACGGGCAAATCGTTTGGTTTACCATCTCGACCATTACCCACGACTTTTTATTTTATTACGTTTTACCGAAAATTAGCAGTTTATTTTTATCTTCCCGAGGTGTTAGTAACGTTTTGTACGTCCCGTTGCTCGGAACATTATTCCGACGGGCACTAACGGTTAATCGAAATACCATAATACGAGTAGAGGGTAATCCTTTTAACCGGCAGACGAGACAAAAAGCGGTTATATCGAACCGACGTAAGGGAGACGGAAGTTTTATCTTTTATTCAAATAAGCCGTACGTCTCCTCCCCAGCTTCCTCTTCCTGGCGCCGGACTCCGTCCATCGATCCTCCCGTTTCCCGCGGGAAGAGGGAAGGCGCCGGCGCGGAAGAATCGGTCGGCAGAGGGCGTCGGCGCACGGGCCGGGAACAACAGCCGAGGTAAGCGCGGAGGGAGCCGGGAGCCTCCGGGCCGGCGGGCCCGGTTGCCGGAACCGGAAGTGACCCGGCTGTCTCCGCAGATGTCGCCCGGAATCGTCCGAGTCAAGTTGGTGGGAGTGCGGCTGGGACGCCGGACCGCCGCAGACGATCCCTACTGCGCCGTGGCCGTTCTGCGTCCGGGTGAGTCTTCCCTCTTCCTTCTCTTCTCTCGGTCTTCGGCTCGGCATCCCTTTTCCTCCTTCTCCGCAGAAGAAGGCCTTTTCCTCCCGTCGACCCAAGGGCCGAGGCCCTTTCCTCTCCCGCCCCGACTTCTCGGCGGGTTCTTTCCTCTTCCGGTCCGCCACCGAGAGAAGGACAAAACCCATCGATCGGCCGCTTCCTCGGGCGGCGACGCCGTCTTCTTCCGCCACCGAAGGTGGGGAATCCGGTCGCATCCCGGTCCGACTTTTCGCATTTAACCCGCCGCCTTCCGTTCCCCGGACCGGACGGAGAGCCTGGCCCCCACTATTTCCTCTTTCGATTCCGAGATGCGCCGGGTTTCTTTGCCCGACGTGAGGATGCGGAGGAAACCGGCGAATCCCGTTAACGGGGGGCGGCGGGAGACGAATTTCCTCCGGAAAAAACTGAACGGGGCGTGGACGACGGGCGCCGCTCGGACCCTTTCCGGAGTTTTAAGCGGGATTATATTTTAAATTCGGACGTCGGCCTCCCGGTGTGAGGTTTCTTCGGTCCGACCGGAGGAGGCGTCGGGCCGGCGCCTTTTTCCGGAAATCGCTTTTCTGCGTCCCGGGTTTCCGGATGGACGTCCGAGCGAATTTGAAGGACTTTAAGGGAGGAAGGCGCTTAACCCCGTCGTCTCTCCGTAGATTACGGGCGGAGGGTGGACGGCGCCGCCGTTTGACCGTCTTTCCGGTAGAAGGCGCGGACGGAGAAACGAAACCCCGTTAGTCGGATTTCGTCTGCCCCGACGTACAGACGTGTTCTTTATCCCTACGAAACTCGGGAGATCTCGTCCAAAACGATCTGGCGTTTAACACGTTTTTCCGCTAATCATTTATTTTTTTATACGATTGTTTATCTTCCCGAACCTTCCGGTTCTTCCGAGTGACGATCCGGGCGCTATTTTTTCGCCAGCGTTTTATTCGTTGTTTTTGCGGCCGAGCTCCGTTTTAAATTACGCAAAGAATGGAAAGAATGCGGGCGGGCCGACCGGGGGAAGAGCGGCGGGGACCTAAAAGAAAGCGTTAGTCCGGAAAGCCCGGGGCCCGCCGGTAAAGGCGGGTGGTGATCCGTTTCCGTCGGAGGTGGGACCGCCCGGCTGCGCACCCGGACGGTCTACCGCCTTACGCCACGTCGAACGGAAATGCGTGGTAATCCGAGGCCCACCAACCGCTAATTAGGCCCGGGACTACGACGTTACTACTATAAATCCCCGTCGCCCCCGTCCTTCCTTAATTAATCTCGAGAATGGTGTTAGTTACGTAAGAGCCGAGCCCGGCTTAGGGGCAGAAGGCTCCGATTAACCGTATACGGACTTGCCGTGCCAGTCGAAAAATTTGCCCGAAAGGGGTTAGACGGACGACCGACACGACTCCGTCGCTAACGGGAAAAGTATGACGTAAGGGGCGAGACACCGCCGCTACGAGGTGGAGGAGAGTATATATTTTAAATCGAATAAATGAGATAAAAAATTGCGGCCCGGATTGTAACCACGTGGAAATAAATTATTGCCGGTTCCGCGTCACGCGTATGCCACCCCTCGGAAATTAGCCGTTATTGCCCGGGATTTAAATGGCAGGCCCGAGGTTTGTTTCCGGACGATGGCCGGCTAATAATAACACCTGGGTTGGCTTTAAAATATTGCCTTATCCAACAATATTACGGCCCCAAAACGCGCTTTTCCTAAGAGTCGTAGTGACGAAAGAATTGTCGATGGAATTGTTGGAGATCCCGGAAACCCATGCGGAGTGGTCTACGATAGGAACGAAAGGGCCGAAGAGGGACCGAAATGCCCCGAGTTAACAGCTAGACGCGGTATTAATATCGAAGGCAAACTCGGCCTGGAAACCCATGGGATTTGGCCGCTTTGGTGGCGCGGAGGTAAAAGCGGACAATTTAAAGGTATCGTTTCCGCTAAATAACGGCCCGTCGGGAGACGGGCAACCGCGGGGATTCGGACCCACCCGGGGACGACGCGCTTTATTCAAATCGTAATAGAAGGTCGAACTGCCGGTCGGAAAACACGAACGGAAGTGGTCGGTGCCAACGCCCGCTTTTATTTCTTAAGAGAGCGCGGCAAGTTTTACTTTGGCTCCTTTCCGAAGTACGGTGTTTCCTGCGCCGTTGGAAATACCTGGGTAGGCGTAAGCCACTCCGCGGTCCGAACGGAGCTTTGGGTAGGCCGTAGCCCGAGAGATAAAAATCGGTGGGCGGGGCGGAAACGGGCCGATTGCCGCCGGTGACCCTGTGAGTTTTGCAGAGAAAGAAGCTCGTCCGGCCAGAGGAACCAGCTACCTGTATCCGGAATGGAGCTCGTGCTTCGACGTCAAGAACCGTCCAGGTAAGAGAACGGATCTTCCGCCTCAGCCCGTCCGGTCCGAGCTCAGTCTTCCTGTGTCGTCGCAGGTCACGCGGTGCATTTCCTGGTGCTGACCAAGCCCGACCGTCCCCTGGCCGAGACCACCGTCGACGGAGACTGGCTGGTGGAGAGTTGCATCCGGGGAAGGACCGCCGACGCCTGGGTGAGTGCCCTTTTTCCTCTTTCCTAGGGGTCGACGTTATACGTTAAATATTTTCTGCGGGTTTTTACCGGCGCTTTCTCTTTTCTTCTCTTTCCACTCCGACCTCTCCCTCGAATATTCTCTTACCCGTGGCGGAAGCCCTATCGTCCCCGGTCGCGGGCAAATAACGGACGAGGCGGCTGCAATTTTTAATGGTCTTTCGTTTAAAACGCACGGGGTCCGGCTCCTAAGCTTCACCGCGCTCCGTACTTTTCCCCACTACCGTCCAGCCATCCGGTGTTCCGTTCGACTCCGTATTTCCAACGGAAACGGCGCCGGCCAGGTGGAAAACAGCCACCATCTTCGGCAATTAAGTACCCGGTGCCAACGGATAAAGAAAGAAGGGCGAGTGGGGGCCAGACGTAAACAAAGTGGGGCGGAGGGGAACGTCTTTCGGAGGGCGCCGGCCAGTGCCCGAAGGGTTTAAAACGCATTTAAACGGCGGACTTTACGCCTTCCGAAGGAAGGGGCGGACGGTAACCGCTTAAATAACGGTAGGGGTAATAATAGCATTTAATCGATTAGGCGTTAAGACGAGAATTACGCGGCGGCCCGACTGGTGTCAGGGGGAAGAGACGGGGAAGTCGTGCGCTAAAAATAAATTAATCGGTCTTTTTATCTGGGTTTATATATAGGAGGTGGGCTAACTGCCCAGGCGGCACCAGACGCTTACGCCGGGCCGGGGGGCGATTTCGCCCTTCCACTGGCGGAACAAAACCCATGGCTTTAAGTTATTCAAATTTTTTTAAATGTGTCCGATTAAAATGGGCGGACACCGTCCGTCTTTTCTCGGCCGCGTCCGTAATGTTATTTTATATTAAAGTCGTATAAAACGTAAGCAGTTGCGGAAGATTCGAAAAAAACTGCAAATACGTATAATGTAAAGTTACGTTTGATTAATTCCACGGTTTCTGTACATCCGAGTCCGACGGCTGGTAGTGTTCTCCGTCCATCGCAAACATTTCGGTATTTAAATTCGTCCGACCGGCGCTAGTGGTGGCGGTTGCCCCGTCCCGCCGTTAAGAAACGAGTAGTCCGCTCCCGCCTCTCTCCCCCAAATACGCGATGGAAAATACCCTCCGCCGCCCGGCCTAAATCTAATTCGACTTCCGCCGCGGGTTACGTTCGACCGTTCCTTTGTTTTTTGTCCCGTCGGCTGCTCTTTCTTCTCTTTTTAACTGCGCGGGTCTAAATATAGCGGCGCGGTAATTAAACGGCGTGTTGTTCCGGTCGTCGACCGAGACCGACGGCTCTTTAAGAAGAAAAAAAACCGACGGTCGCGCCATGTGGGAAAAGACCGCGGGACGAAGCGGTTTTAACCCCTTCCTTCCTCTTTTTTCTTTACACTTTATTTCAAAGAGTCTCGGCACAGATACAAATTACGCGCCGAGAACAAACTACGTGGCATGAAAACGCCGAGGAGAAATATTAAAATACAATTGAAATATTGACGATAGAATTATATAATACATATTCACCCGTAGATGACAAATATATATTGAACGTCGGGAACAGGGTACGTGGCACCATGCGCCAGGAAAATTAAAATAAACAGAAAAATTTTTCCAACGTATATTTACCTTTTCCTTTGTCCGGTGTCTCCTTCGGAAAACACCGAATGGGCAGACCCACCCCAAGATTTAACCCTTTTCCGTCCGCAGTTGGAACTTCGACCGGAAGGACTTCTGAACGTGCAACTCAAGTACCTATCGGAGGACGAAGAGGACAGCTCGGCCGAAGGCAGTTCCGGTTCCTCCCGTAGGGCGGGACGACCCGGGACCGGCGTGGCCAAGCGAAGAGGAGCCTTCAAGCAGCAAAAGGTGCACCGGGTCAGAGGTCACTCCTTCGCCGCCAAGTTTTTCCGACAGCCCACCTTCTGCGCCTTCTGCAAGGAGTTTTTGTGGTGAGTGCCTTCCCCTCCCTCCTTTCCGCCGCTTTCCTCCCCAGCTGAGACGCCGTTTCTCGCCGCAGGGGATTCGGAAAACAGGGATATCGATGCCAGAGTAAGTCTCTTCCTTTCCGTCTCTTCGGGGATTCCTCCCCGGGGGAATCCGAAGAGCGGTCCCGCCTTCTTTCCGGAAGGAGGGTCGGAAGTCGACGCCGTCTGACCCCGCTCGTCCGCAGAGTGCCAGATCGCCGTCCACAAGAGGTGCCACCGCAAGATCCTGGGCGAGTGTCCGGGGTCGGGAAAGGAGTCTCAGGCCACTCTGGTGAGTCTCCTTCCTTCCCTCTTCCTCTCGGGGTCGGCGGACGTTAACATTTTACCGCGGGTTAAACGGTTAAAGCGTCGCGACTTAAGGCGGGGGAACTTTAACGGGACTTAACGCCCTGGCCGGGAGGGACGGGCGTGGTGAGAACTCGTTTCGCGGGAAATAGGCCCCTGTTTCGGTGAAAAAAATCCGCGCCACCCACTACCGGCGCGGGGCGGTTCTATCCGCCGGGCCAATTAGTACTTTTTTTAAGTAAACGCCGAGGAAGAACGTCTTCGGTAAAGGAAGGATTTATTTCCGGAAGGTGCAAAATCTCGGGTCGAATTGCCGGCGGTCAAATTGGAAAAAGGCGGTGGTGGTGGGGCCCTACGCCGACGAAACAAGGGCGGATACAAGACGGGGACCGATGCTTCAATGGACGCCGAGGAAGGGAAAGAAACGGTAACGTTCGACCGAGTCCTTCCCCCGTCATCCTCGAGCCCGTTTTATAATTAAAAGAACAAAGGCCGTACCACCGCCTTCGACTGCCAAAATGCTCCGATTCGAGTTCGAGTCCCCGTTGCCTCTTTCGCTCTTCGCAGCGTTAACCTACATTAAAGCCTCCTCCCGGCGCCGGAGTTTTGTCGGCCGTTTCCGATTTCCGGATTCTGGCGGAACAGCCGGAGTAAAGGGCAGTTTATTTTCCGTTTTCCGGAATATTCGGGCGGCGGAAACGGAGCGGAATCCGGCCGTTAAGCGCCGGAGACGGTCCACATCTCCGAATAAAATCGCTCCCGGAAAGGACCGTTTTAATACCCGCAACGGTTGGGAAAAGGAGCTTATTCGCCGTCGATAAATGTAAATAAACGACGGAAAAGTACTTCTACTCGCGCCCCTCCGGGCCGTAGAAACGTCCTTCCGAAAATCGTCTGGATCCACTCCGTTTTCTCCGCCCTCCCATCTTTTTTCTTGGCTTTGTCTTCCCGCTCCGCTCGACCCTTCCGGAGGGACGAAGAGTCGAGAGGGAGCCCGGAGGACGAAACCACCCACCGCCTGGCATTTCTTGGCAGTACCTGAGGGAGAGGTTCAAGTTGGACGTTCCTCATCGCTTCCGAGTGCACAGCTACGTCAGTCCCACCTTCTGCGACCACTGCGGATCCCTTCTGTACGGCATCTTCCGCCAGGGACTCAGGTGTCGGCGTGAGTACTCTTCCTTCTCTCTCCTCCTCCTCCTCGGACCCGAAACATCGCGCTCGGAGCGTTCCGTCGTCAAGGTCGTTCCGCCCGGCGATTGGCACCCGGACCGGGCCGGACCCGGGCCGGGGAGAAAGGCGAGAACAGAGGCAGTCGATCCGTGAAGGTCTCCTATTATTAATGCCGGGTGTAATATTACCCGTTTATATTTAGTGCGGTAACGCAAATTCTCCCATTAAATAATACTTTCGCCCGCCTCTTACGCAACGAGTGAAGCCACGGCCCGTAACATTTCCTCCTTTTCGTCGTCGTTCTTTGTCGATCCACTCAAAGTGTCGTATTTTTAGAGGCAATAAAAGTAAGAAGCTCGACGAGTACTTCCTCCCGTAACGCCCGACCCGCCCACCTTCCCGGTTACGGCGCCACTCGGCCGAAAAGGGCGCCATGTCCAGAGGGGAAGTCTCCTTCCTTCCCGCCAAAAAAACCGATGTCGCTCCCACGGGAGGGGGCCCGACGGAAGGGGAGGTGGTAGATAACTCCGGGCGCCCGAAATAGCGGAGGGCCGGGTCACCGGGTCGTCGGGACGGAGAACCAGAAACCCGGTTGGCAACGAAGAGTAGGCTTCTGGGTCCGGGGGCCGCGGCTAAGCCCCTTCCCGCAGCCGCGCTCCGTTCGCCTCGCTTCGCGTCGCGCACCCGCTTCTGGCCGCTCGCCAACCTCTTCCCTTTATAAAGTCGGATCCGGCCGGCCGGAGCAAAGATGCCGGTGCTGGGATTCTCGGCCTACTCCGCTCTCTCGTCCTACGGGACCTTCCCGGGATCCCGTCGGGCTCCTCTTCCTAGCTTCACGCACCTGACGCCTTCCCGGCGGCCGCTGAGCGAGTACTCGTCCGCAGGCACGCGCTTCTACGTCGGCGGATACCAGTCGTCTTATTCTTCCGTCTGGAGCGGCGGATGTCGGACTCTGGGCCGGACCTACCGCGCCCCCCGTCCGCGTCCCGCCTACTCGGGAGCCTCGGCCTACGCCACGCTCCCCCGGGAGGGTCGGGCGCGGAGGTGGGGACCGGAAGAGAAGCCGCTGGCGGGCATTCGCCACCGGAGGACGGTGACGCCGGGCGATGGGAGAACGCGCAGGGGGGAGTCCACTCGCTCCGACGACTCGGGCATCGACATCGCCCCCTTCCGCGAGAGCGAATCGTCGGTAGACGGAGGGGCCAGACGGGAGACGGACTCGACGGTTGCGGGCGCGAAGGGGATTCCGTCCGAGGGGAGCAGCGCCGACGCCGAATCCTTGGGCTTCGTTGCAGAATGCAAGAGTAATTGTCACAAGAAATGCGAGAAACACATGCCCAACCTGTGCGGGGTCAACGAGAAGTTGCTGTCCGAGGCTCTGTCCACCGTCAAAAGAGGTAAGTCTCTCTGGCCTCTTCCTCTTCCCCCGACTTCTCCCACTGACTCCCTCTTTCGCAGGCGCGGCCGCCGCTGCCGAGGAGCCGGAAGAAGGGGAGGGACGTCGTCCCCGGCGTCCCTCCACACCGGGCAGCAACGATTCCGACGAGGGCTTCGACCATTCGCGGGACCGAGTGCTGTCGCCCACCCTGGCTTCCTGTCCCGAGAGAGAGACCGCGGGTCTGCCCCGTCTGAAATACCGGAAGTACTCGGTGGACGACTTCCACTTCCTGAAGGTGCTGGGTCGAGGCAGCTACGGAAAGGTGAGTGTCCGGTGGCGCCTCTCTCCCCGGCCGGATTCCGGAGGAGGACGAGGTCGTCGGAAACTCGATCTTCGGGAATCGCTTCCTTTCTATTCTCGGAGACGTCGCTTTACGCAAAGCGCGGCCGCGTCGCGTCGCCTGGGCCCCACCGGCGGCATTTCTGGGCCCGGTCCAGACACTTCCCGCACGCGTTTCCTCCGCCCACTTTCGGCCAGTCCGTTCCGGGGTCCGGCCGGGACCCAGGGCGCCGAGGGTCGGGGTGCCGAATCGGGCGAAGTAAGACGAGTCGCTCGACTCTTGGGAAGGTGCCCGGAAGCCCGGCCAGAGAATTCGTGCCAATCCGGCGCGCGCGCTTTCTCTCCGGGTGGCGGGACCCGATTCGAAATCGGGCGAGAAGATTCCGAGGCGGCTAATCGAGGCCGGGTGGAGCGACCAAACTACTTCCGGAAAGGCGCAGACCGGAAGTAGTTTGGTAGCGTTATTTACCCGTGGCCGCCGAGAAAGGGTAATTAGCGCGCCACGACGGAACGGCTCCTTCCGGTAAAGGACGGATTGCCAGGTTTTCCGCGGTAGCGACGATTCTGGAAATGAATAAACTTCCGGGTCGGCGAGTTGGGGCGGGAGGGACCGTGTCCGGAATTTGGAATTTCTCCGGGGCGACGGGGAGGAACGGAAATCCACATTTTCGGCCACCGACCCTTCTCCGGTCGACCGGAGAAGGGTCGGTGGCCGAAAATGTGGATTTGCCGGGAGATGGAAAAGTGGGGGAAAGACGCGGCCTCTTCCGTTGGGTTCCGGAAACGGCCGGAGAAGACGACCGTTTTCCCCGGCGGAAGAAGAAAATATCGCGGAAAACGTCGCGACATTTTCGATAATTTTTTTGGCAAGGCGAAACGCCTTTACAATGCTTACGTAAAGCGGCGATAAACCCGTTTATTTAACGAATGCCCTTCGGCCGGGTCTTCCTCTGGTAACTTCGGGGGTGGTCCGTAGTCGGTTCCGACGGCCGGTCGGGAGACGTCCGACTATCCGGTTTCTCGGAGATTTCTCGGGAGGGGAACCGCCATTTCCATAAACGGGCAGAAAAGGACGGGGGAACCGCCCGATCTTCGCGGCGCGACGAACTTTCGTCGACAAAAGTTGCGCAAGGCGGCCGCCTCCCGGTGCCAAATTTTTCCCGACGGCGACGTTACGTAAGCTTCGTCCGGGGGGCGGCGCGAGCGCTTTTCTAAATTCGGTAGTAACCCGAGGTGTCGGCGGAGCGAAAGCGAACGGGCACCGGGCGTTTGTCGACGTCGTCTTTTCCCAAAGCGAGAAAAAGACAAAGGAGATATTTTGGGGGGAAATTGGCAAAAATACCGGCGTTTACAACGGATTTTCTGCCAGAAATGTCTGAGAATTTCTCGACGAATTGTTTTCCTCCGAATCACCCCGCCTGGTGCGTTCCGGCCTCCAAAGAAGGGAAGATCGCAAACCCTTTTCCCGTTAATCCGATTAACGGGAAAAGGGCTTAAAATCCCCTCTTCGGCGCCGAAAGACGGCTCCGCGGATTGGCGGAAAGGGTCACTCACGCCCTTCTCCTGACGGCGGACCCCGAGCTTTTCTCGGTTCCTTTACTCCTTACAGTCTTTTCCTTGCCTTTGTAATCAATAAAAGTTTATTGTTGTTATAACGTCCGACCACCGATAAAACGTAAATAATACAAAAGGTGGTTGGTTCTTCCGGTTGGCTTCGTTCTCTACCCGGGTACTTTTTGTGCGGCGCAGAATAGCCTCCCCGCCTCCTTAATCGACCGAATTAACCAAAGAAGTGGAATCTTGGAATTTGGCGGCCGCGCCCCTAATTAATTCTTCGATTACGTTGGGATGGACGCGTTTTTAAATTCTCGGCCTTCCTCCGTCAGGTGATGTTGGCCGAGCTGAAGAACGGCAGCGAGTATTTCGCCGTCAAGTGCCTGAAGAAAGACGTCATTCTGGAGGGGAACGACGTGGAGTGCACCAAGATCGAGAAGAAGGTCCTGGTCCTGGGCACCGCCCACCCTTACATCTGCAAGTTGTTCTGCACCTTCCAGACTCAGGTGAGCCGGCGGTTTCTTTGGCTCCGGTCGTCTCCCGACTTTCTCCTCACCTCCGGTCTTTCCGCAGAGCCACGTCTTCTTCGTCATGGAGTACCTGAGCGGAGGCGACCTGATGTTCCACATCCAACAGTCGGGTAGGTTCGACCAGGAGAGGGCCAGGTGAGTCTGCCGACTCCTTCCCTTGGTTCCCACTCGCCTCCCGTCGGGCTCTCACCTTCCGTTTTTTCCCGGCAGGTTCTACGCCGCCGAGATCGCCTCCGCCCTGAAGTTTCTGCACAAGAAGGGCATCGTCTACAGGTGAGCGGGCGGGACCGCCCGGGAGGCGGAACCGGAAGAGGAGGGAGCCCTTTGTAAGCCGTGTTTTTTCTGCGCAGGGACGCCAAACTAGACAATATCGTGCTGGACGCGGAGGGTCACGTCCGCTTGGTGGACTTCGGGTTTTGCAAGTTTCGCATTTACAGGAAGGAGTGCCTGCCGAAGAATCTGTGCGGCACGCCCGATTACATGGCCCCCGAAGTACGTAGGTGTGGAATCGCGCCGCGCGGTCCTCCCCTTCCCCCACTAACCGCTAACCGGCGTCCGCTAACACCTCCGCGGGTGACCTAACTTTTCTAGACTAGTCTCGCGGCCAGTGACGTGCCGGTAACTTTTCAGGGACCTCAAGCTGGACAACGTCATGCTGGACGTCGCGGGACACGTCAAGCTCAGCGACTTCGGCATGTGCAAGTGCAAGCTGCCCGAAGACCGGACGGCCACCTTCTGCGGGACACCCGACTACATCGCTCCCGAGGTGAGTGCGCCGCCGCCGGCGGAGGCCGGGTCTCTCCTCCCTCCCGATTCCCGTCCGCGGCGCGGTTGGGAGGCGGAAGGAGGAAACGACCCGACGGGAAGAGCGGAGTCGCCGTTTTCTGCCCGGGAGGGCGGAGACGGGGGGAAAGAAGGAAAGCGACCAACGGGAGTTTTCGTCGGAACACTACCGGTTTTCGAACTTGGAAAAATATTTGTTTTGAGTTCGAAAATAACCGGCGGAGAATTCGGGGGAAGAGAACTTCCGGGGGAGAGAAACGCCGTCTGCCGACCTTCGACGTCGAGGCGGGTTTACCCCAAAAGTCTCGGGTCGACTCCGGGTTATTTAACGGGCGGCGCTCCCGTTTATCGGGTAAATTCGGTGGAGAGAGGCGACGCGAAACGAAGATTACGGAGGGCGTCGGCAGACGTTTCCCACCCGCCGGAAGTCTGTAGAAACGCTTTCCTTGGCCCGGCTCCCGGAGACGACTCGTCCGCCGCGGCGGCTGGAGCGCTGCACGCGGACCCCACCCTTCTCCCCTAACCGCTAACTCTCTTTTGTTTGCGCGTCGGCCGCCACCGCCCTCTTCCGTCCCCCGCCGGGGGAATAGGAAGGGAGCGGCGGCCGTAGAAACGGAAAGATACTAACCGGGGGGACGACGTTTCAGATCATCCGGGGTCAGAAGTACAACCAGTCGGTGGACTGGTGGGCCTTCGGGGTGCTGCTGTACGAGATGTTGGTGGGTCAGTCGCCCTTCGCCGGAAGCGACGAGGAGGAGCTCTTCTGGTCCATCTGCAACGAAGAGGCCTACTACCCCCGATTCCTCAGCAAAGAAGCCAAACATCTCCTGGTCTTGGTGAGTTTCTTTCTCTTCTCTCTCGTTATTTCCGGTCGGCCTCCGCCGGGGAACCCAGGCCTTTCTCGGAGAATTTCATCGGAAGGGATTCGACTAAAGTACTTTTGCCCAACCGTCCGATAAACAGAATAAAGACGGGAGGCGCCGACAAATTTGCCGCCTATTTTACAAACGGCCCAATTACGGTGGAAAATATAATAGGGCCGCGGAAGGGCGGTGGTCCGTTCGTCCGGAATACCTCCCGCTCCTAGGGTCACGGACGGGCGGGACCGACCGCCTGGAAGAACTTTCAGGGTTTTCGACCGGCGAAACCCGTAAGCTGGAAAGGCGGCGTAAGGGGAGGAAGAGCGAAGGGAACGTAAGACCGCGGGTGAAAACGGTTTATGGCGGTTTCGATGTAACCCGAAGTTTTCGCCAAAGTGGCCCCACGACTCGGACTCTACCGACTTTTGTCCAGCGATTGGTTTTCTCCTTTGGTGAAAGCAGAAAACGAAAAGAATTTCGATTTGTCGCCCGGTGGTAAAAATGAAACTCGGTTCTCGTTTACAAATTGCCGGTAATATAAATATTACGACTTTATACAATTTTGCATTATCTACGTTATAAAGCGTATTGTAATTGATAATCACCCGACGGATGCCGAGAGTTTTCTTCTAGCTTTTACGCAACGGGAAATTAACCTACGCAGTCGAAATACAAATACTACTCGCGTTTCCTCGGTCGACCATGGCTTCACTGACGAGCACTCGGCTTTGAAGGGGAGGAGAACTTTACCGTTCTACTGTATAAATGAACTTTTTTCCTCTTTCAATGTTCGTATAGTTTTCTTTCTACAATACGCGGTCCGTTCGGCAATCCCAATTTGTGTAATTGTATTTAACGTTATTCTAGTCTTTAGTAGTCTTTCTCCTACGTAATAACGCGTTGGTATACGACCGAGTTGGAATTTACGCTATTGATTTCTGAAATTGGATACAGTATTGGACTTTTAACCGCTCCTTCTACGGCGCTGTCCGTGTCCGAGCTAATACCGTATTAAACCATATTTTTAATATATCGCCTTTTAATTATATTGTAACTAACCTTTTCGTGTAAAAACATTCCGTACGAAATTTTTAATAATACAGGTGACCCCCGTATAACACGGTGGTTTTATAGCACGGGTTCACTCTAACACGGTTCGGGAATTGGGTAAAACCCTCGTACAACATGAAATGTAATAAAGGGTGCGTTCGTTTATACCTCCGCGTAACTCAGCGCGAGCATTCTAATTGTTTTCGCGGCTACTTTCAATGCTCTTTCAACAAATAATCCATTTAATGGTTAAATTTTACAATTGGGAACCTTCTTTTGCCTCTAAAAGCTCATTTTAGAATTATAGATTCCTCCATCACGATACTATCGATAGTGCGGGCGCCGCCATCTTTCTTTCGTCGTCGTTCCTAAATGCCTACAAACAGCGGCGCACTGGGAGTGCGCCGCTGTTTGTATGGGCGACCGCTATTAACGAACGCACCCAAAAACTGTTACAAGTTGATGATGCCCATTCTGAGATCAACTTAAGTTCAGAGGATTATTCATCCTATATGATGATGCTCGTGCTGAGATCATCATATAGGATGAATAATCCTCTGGTAAAATATTTACTTAAATTAATAAATAAGTATTTTACCTATGAAAAAAATGAATAATAAATCCGATTTAAATAAGGATTTAACAGCATGTTTTTTTTTTTAATTTTTGGAACCTAAACCCCTTTTGCACTAGTTCTTTGTTTCGTATAACACGGATTCGCATAACACGGAAATTTTTTGGAACGTAACTCCCGTGTTATACGGGGGTTACCTGTATTTTAATTATAAATTATTGTATTCAAATCGAATACGTTAATTTCGTATCGTTTAAAAGCTACAAAAACAATATTCCAGTCCACCGGATAATTATAAATTATAATATTCTTTATTACGGGGTTGTCCAACCTTTTTTTCCTAATGGGCCAAATTAAAATTTACGTATATTCGGCGGGCCCCAAAGATACTTTATATAAATATATACTTTTAAAAAGTTTCGAAATGTCAATATCAAATATATATAATTACGTAAAATACTGCGAGATTAGCCGGGGTAGATGGTCCCCTGGGTCCCCGGCTCGGCAACGGGTAAGTTCGCTTTAGGGTGTTCCGGATACGTCGGGACGGAAGTCTTCTCCGTCCGTGGAGTCCGTCTGGCCATGGCCGTTCCGGGGCTGGGGGTATTCGCGGGTATGTGGCTCCGGAGGAAGTCCACCCCGACTCGAGTTGTCGCCTCTCTTTTACCGATTTAGCTGGGAAAGAGTCGGGCCATCGACCGTTTGGCCGCTCGTCCGCGGGTGTGCCAGCCGTCGACGACGTAAAACTGTCGTTATACGGAGCCGTCGCCACCGTATTTGGTTCGAGACTCTTACGCTTCCTTCTATTCACGCGTCGACCATCGACGTTCTCCTCCTTTAACACCGAGCTGTTTATCGTTTAGTACTGGGATGTTATATTTCTCGGCCAGTCGTCGATAGTACGGGTCCCGCGCGATGTCGTCTTTACCGTGCTTACGATTTTTCTTAATTTTACGTAAAATCGCGCCTCGATCCTCGCAATATTGTACTATTGACAGTAAAAAAAATTATACTGGCACAAAATAAAAATAAATTCGACGCGATTTCTAATATGGCCTTTCTTTTATAATATTGTCGGTATCCACTTTTACGCTACTATTCTTAGTTCTAAGAATGTTAGTTTAATGGGAATCACTCGACCTACTTCTTTCGGCAATTTTGATGTCGGCAACAGTACGTTACGCGTGTGGGGTAGTGCAGTTTTCTAGCACCGATTACGTCATTACGACATCGACGTGTATGGAGTGAAACGAAAATGTACCTTAAAAATATTAAGTGGGCCGCGGGTTGGACGTCCCTGCTTTATTATAAAGATTTAGATATTGTAAAATACTGTATTATATACTGCTCTAACATTTATATTACCAATTTGTAGATGAAAACCGACCAGGAGTATAAATCCGAAATGTATATTACGCCATCAATACATACGCTACTAAAAGTCTGAAAAAAAAAATACAAGAAAAACATCCGGCAACGAGTTGCTTAACTTTCCCGGCGACTGGTCCGTTACGATATTGTATTTAAAATCTTTTAACATTTTTAATTATTATAAAATGGTAAAGACTTAATTTTTGAGGATGCAGACGAATTTTAAATATTAAAAAAAAGAAAGATTGTAAATACTAACAAGTAAAATCTTCATTAAGTTCGACCCCGCGCCAGCTACCACGCGCCATCCCCCTCTATCCATTCCCCGAACTTTTTACCTCCGAAATTCAATAGCATCGATGCCCCTTATACACTACCGTATCGTATTTCGCCCTTCGTCTTCGCCCCGTCCCGAGATATTAAACGAAATACACGCCAACACGCGAGTACTGTACTATACGTACCCACGAAATATCGGGTCGAATTTGACACGATTCCAATACTTTCCCCGTATACGTAACAGCCGGGAAAGCAAAAACGGCGTAAGATACGGCCACGGTTCTAAGAATGCCACCTCCCGAAAGAGAATAGAAATAAAATAAAAAGTTTGGCTAAAACCGGGCGACGGATTACCGAATTATCGCCGTTTTTTCTGCCTTTAAAGAACGACGTCGTTCTTTTTGAATTTACGCCGAGGGAACTTTTTGTTTATAGGGGTGCGCGTCGGTCGAAGGGAGACGCGCGCCCCTATTTTATCGGTATTACTTCTCGGGAAAAAGTACAAATCGAAAGTCGGTGACGGCTCCGGGGGTATCGGGGAAAGCGAATTAATGCCATTTTAGTAAATTGCGGCGACGTTTCCCATCGAAAACTTTCCTCCTCCGCCGTAACGTTACGTAAATCCGGCGGCCGCTCGGGTGTCGGAAATGAGGCGTCGATTAGTGGCCTAACTGGAAGGTAGAGGCCCGACGGGAGTCGGCCCTTTCTCAGTTTCTTCGCGCCCAAATAGGGACCGGTTTCCGGTAGAAACTTCTCTCGGCGGAATACTCGCCCTTTCTTCGCTCGTCCGTTTTACCACCCCGGTTGGATCCACCCGCGGAAGGGACCCGGGCGGAGCCTTGGACGGAAATTCGGCCTCCGTTTAAATGTTAGACTGCTAAAAACTCGGAGGGTTAACCTCCGAGGATCGACCGTCGGGTGTTAAAGCGGCCTTAGTCCGCCGCCGTCCGTCTTTCCACCTTTTCTATAAACGCGAGGAGATTTACTTAGATTTAAAGAGTCGGCGCCGTCCGTGGTTTTCCGGCTTATTTGTTCTCTTCTCCGGCCTCAGTTGCTGAACAAGACGGCCGACTGTCGCCTGGGAATGCCCGACTGTCCGGCGGGGGACGTGTGTCGCCAGCCGTTCTTCGCCAGCGTCGACTGGGACAAGGTGGAGAGGAAGGAGCTGAGGCCTCCCTTCAGACCCAATCTGGTAAGTCCCTTTCATTCCGCCGTTCCTCTTCTCGCCTCCCGGCACTCATCTCTTTTCTTCCCCGCAGAGAGGACCCGGAGACGTGGGAAACTTCGACGTCGACTTCACCGCGGAGAAGGCGCAGCTGACGCCGGTGGCGGCGGACATCCTGGCTTCCATGGACCAGACGCAGTTCCGAGGTTTCACCTACACCAACCCCAACGTCACCGAGTGACGTCTGTACATAATTTTTATCTGTTTTGTAACCGACCTCCGCCGCGCGCGCGTATCAATAAACTCTTTTTACCAAAACTCGTTTGGTCTCTGCCGGTCTCCGTCCGATCGGGAAAGGACCAGGGATAACGCGAGACGAAATCTCTGACTTCTCCCCCGTCTCGACGCCAAATTACGGATTCGGGGAGAAATCGGCGGAACGAGGAAATTTAGTGGAGTTTTCCGGCCGCGCTTTCTCTCAAACGTGCTCGCGCCACCACACCCTACAGTGGACATTTGTTTCTATGGACTGTCAGTTTTTAGATACGACCAACAAAGCTATTTACTTTTTCCGTTTTTATAAGGGATTTCTGTTCTCTTTTGGGGTTTTCATCCGGGAAGATTGGCAACACTGTCTCGACGTCCTTTCCTAATCAAATTTCGAGACTCCGAATCCGATTAATCGGAAGAAGCGAGTTTCGCGCACCGCCAACTCCGCAGAATTTGTTTCTTTTTCGGAAGAAACCTTAGGCGTGGCCGGCCCAGACGACTTTTCCTCCGCGCCATATACAACGCCGTTTTCCGGGTCGGGCCGGAATTTATTTATTCCGGTCGTCCGGAGCCACGGAAAGCGGAACGAACGGCGGTTTCTACCTAGCGAAAATTTCCACTCCGCGGCCACCGTTCGGCCTATAGACGAGCCGATACCGTTTTATTATATTTAAATTTGACGGCGATAATTTAAAAAAATGTGGCTAAAATTTATTATTTCAAACAAATTTGTTTTAATAATGACGATAAATTGAACGGCGGGAGCGTAACAAAAGCTTTCGTCCGGCTCCTTCGAACGGCACAAAAATCGATGGGGCCTATTACGAGTATATAAGGTAAAATGTTCGTCGTACAAACGTAGTAAGGAAACAAGATGGCCGCAATATCGACGTCATTTACTTTTATGGCAAAAATCCATTCCGAATTTACACGCGTCTAAAAGTACGTTTTGTCGTCCGTTCGATTAATTTGAGTCCGGGTGGAACTGGTTGCCATTTGTTCTACTTAGAAAGCCCTTGGCTTCCTCGCTCCCGCTATCGACTATTTTTAACCCGGACGGTTAGTAAAGAAATAAGCCGGACGGACGGAGACTATTTTCGCAGTTTCGTGTCCCCAGAGACGTTTAGACATTATAAACCCGGCTAACTCGATTCGGACCGTATTAAGAAAAGGATTAATGGATAGACTGGAAATTTAAATATTTTTGTAAATAGTCTTAACTTCTAATTTGAAGAATTTTAATTTTACTGGAGATACATACCACCCCGTTATCTCTCCACCTTTCCACCTTTAATCACCAAAATTTAACAGCATCTATCCCCCTAATAGACAAATTTTTTTCAGAAATTTTCGACATAAAGCACCGGAGTTATTAAGCTTCGAAGAGAATGAACGAAATCGTGGCCCGACACGCATACGCACTATCGTCCATAGAAAAAAAGAAAACGATTTTTTCGTTTCTCGACGTCCCGAGTCGGAAAATGTAAAAATCTCGAGGGATGACATTTTCTCTCTGTTATATTCTATATAACGGAGCCGGGAATGTAAGCAACGACGGATCACTTCGTCTTTTACAGAAACAAACCAAAGTGGATTGACCGCGTCTTACGAAATATCGCAAATAATTGCGGAAAATGCACTCGCACTGGTCGAAAATGTTACGCGGCCTTCTTTGAAAACCCGCGTTGCGTAAAGATTCGGAGAATAGACGATCCGATATGGAAAAGTCGGTAAACAATTAATTCCGAATTCCTATCGACCGTCTATAATAAGCGATTATAGAGATATTCTTACGGAAAACGTCCGTTTCGTACAAGATCGGTCGCAAACTTTGCGAAGAGTTCTGTTGGTAAAACTTTTAGAAACCGATCCCGCCCATTCTAATCAATCTAAGGAGAAGAATTTCGACGACACGCCCGAGTTAACAGTAAAAAAAAACACGCAGAACATTTATCGAAACAAAAGAACTAAGCCGATTTTCAATTTATTTTTATTAAAAGTTCCGAGACAGGCGACGAAAATACCCACGAACTCGAGAACCACGGTGCAACGACCAAAGCGAGTACAAATTTGAAAGAGGTGGGATAGCCGAATCAAACACAATCGCATCCGAAAGCGTGGTCCGAAACGGCTAAAATACTGTTAAGCCCGGACTCCGTATTACCCGAAAACGGAGCTGGAGCGTACAGAGTTTTCGTTTAACTGGACTCTACGAAATCACACCGAAATGCGCGTAGATCAGTCGCTCGGTTCTGTAATTGTCGTAGAGTCAAACACGGACGACGCTACGGATTTTTCGCGCTTTCTCCGCATTTATTAACAATTAAATCGTCGATACATTCGAAACAATAGCATTAATAAATTCGCCTTACATATTCGCTCACGCGATCGCTTAGGACTATCCATTAAATCGTATAAATGCCATATGGTCTTACCTCTTTTGTCCCGCTACCACTGACTGAACTTTCCCGAATCTTTTTTCTCTCTATTCGAGCGATCTCTGTACTGTACCTCCCACTTGTGTTTAAACGATTCCGCTTTAGGAGTTCGATGCAGAATATCAAACTTTCTTATCATTCAATCCAAATTTCGTGTCAATCGCTTCCATGTCGCGCGTTTCAATGACGACGTATCTTTGAATTCTTTAAGTTTTTGTCTTACAGACATTAGTATTTTCTAACTTCTTGGATAAATAATTCCAAATCTATTTGTTTCTTCATCCTTTTCGCTACAATCAAAGTATAATACGCCGGACTACGCGTCACGAATTCACGCGTTTTTATTTCGGTCGCGGAACGAAAAGAAATAGTTAAATAATTGTTAACGCAGCTTTCGGTCTCGTTTCTGTCCAACCCAACGTTCCAAAACTGAAAATTTCGTCAGTTTGGCTTTCAGTTGTTCGATTTCGTCGCGAATCCCGGTAATGCCAAGTCCAGGCTTTAGCCTTCTACCACTCGGCATTTAGCAAAGGAGTAACCAACAAAATCTTCGGAAGAGTACAATTGATATCAAACTCAATTTAAATCCAAACATTAAACTATTATTATTTTATTTTCGGGTTCGAGACAGAAAATCTCCATTTATTAAAATCTTAGAACATTTCGGTTTTAAAAGATATTTTAATAGTCGCAGAAAAATTTTTAACTTTTATATTAACAATTCTTTCGTTTATAAAAAACCGAATATTTTTAACGAATAAAACTATTCGTTTTTTTGTTAAAAATACAACCAGTTCGCCAACGAGGGTTTTTTCCTCTTTCCGCCCCGTGGGCACCGAGAGCCTATTTTATCGAGCCCGTTACGGGTTCGGCCGGGCCCACAATGGGACGGGGCCCGGACGTATCCGGACGGACTACCCCCGAAAATTTCCTAGATAATTTTCTACCCGTTGGGTTTCGATCCCGGGTCCCCGAGCGGTAGGCCGCCACCTTAACCGTCTGCGGAAAGCGGCTAACCAGAGAGTTTCTACGGCTGGCGCTTTCGAAGAAGAAAATGGCCGATTTTGTGAATGGATGAAAACGGAATGCCAAATAAATTGTGCGTATATGTTAAAAATGATTAAAGTATATACAAGTAATTTAATAATTTCCGATTTTGAAAATAAAGCATTTTAAACTTATTGTAGGAAGATTCTTTTTTGTTGAATATCTAGGTAGCGATAACATTTACCTTTGGAACCGACCTAAAAAGGTCGATTACAGCTTTTCAGGACCCGCCGCCGGAACAAGAGTCTAGCTCTCGGGTCTAAATTATGCCGCTACGGCCAACAGCGGCAACTCGATTTGTCCTCGTTGAAAATGGAATGCAGTATATGCAATTTAAAGTACAAGTTTAAGCATAAAAAGGACTAACAGGAATGATGGTTATAAATAGGCTTATCATATATTTCTTTCTTTCAAACCGGGACAATTATGAGAAAATACCCACAACAGAAAATAAAACACTTTTATAAAAATAAAAAATGTTTTATTTTTATAAATACATTCGTTGCGCCTTTATCAAATAGAAAAGGCACATTATGCCCAAAAATTGTTGGGTACCTTTTTGCACATCGTACGATGGATCTAAGACTTGTCCCGAAGGATTAAAAGCTACATTTCACGAATTCCCATTAGACAGAGTGGTTAAAGGTTATATTACGACAAGGAAATAAAAAGGATGGCCGCCGAATACTGTCGAATTCAGATATGTTTTGACAAGATTTAACAGTGATCCAATTAAGTCATTCTTTAGCTGTATTCGTCAGTTTAACGAAGGAAATGACAAATTACATGCACGATCAGCAGCAGATCGTGCATCTAATTTTTCATTTCTTACATCATCTCTTACAACACAAATTACTTCAAAAGTTGCGCGGAATGGAAATGCACCACGCTCTTCTTTCTCCTCAAAGTTGTTACCTGTTACGACAGAAACCGATTGTAATGTTATACTGTAAATTGCACGATTCTTCACCCAATGTTTTGCAAAAATTGCCGTCCTTCGCGCGAGACTGCAGTGTTCCCCGCACAATTGAAAATGCTTCTCCGGCAGTTATCAGCGGTTATTTATAGTGCTCGAAGAGAAGGTTGTTTGCTACGAGTGCCTCGAAATCCTCAACCATCCAGCGAGTAACGGAGCTCTTTTTGTTTAATATCAAACCGGGATAGAGGACAGCTTCGGTATCCAAGACTAGCGTTGGTGGTAGTAGTTAGAAAATTTTCTAACTACTACCACCAACGCTGGTCTTGGCACCAACAACTTTCAAACCAGCCTGGCAAGGATTGGTGAATCTCGGTACGTCGCGACGTATAGAGATTCACCAATCCTTGCCAGGCTGGTTTGAAAGTTACGCTTGTAAAGGTCATTTTGCCATACTCGAAAAACTGTCCAGTACCGTGGTGTAAGACTAACACTGGAAGCGCGAATTCGAATCACAATAATCAAATGTGCAATACAATAGCAGAGTTTGTTCTTTTCTGATAAATTGGACTGGACAGTTAAATCAAACTGTGGAAAAAGTTCTCAGACTGCAGCGTAAGCTCATTTCAAGAAAAGTATTAAAAGTCTAATTTTGTCTACTTCATATTTGTAAATTTTTGATGAGGAAGAAGCGTCAATACATTTCTGTTCTT